GGTGTAGGTTGTGCAAGGAGGCCCCTGAGATAGTCCAGCACATAACAGCAGGGTGCAAGATGCAGAGAGGAACTGGAAAAGACCTGGAAGGTGAAGACCACAGTGGTGCCTGTGGTCATCGGGGCCCTCGGGGCCCTCGGGGCAGTCACCCCCAAACTGGAGCAGTGGCTAAAACAGATCCCAGGAACAACATCAGACATCTCAGTCCAGAAATGTGCAGTTCTAGGCACAGCTAAGATACTGCGCAGAACCCTCAAGCTCCCAGGCCTCTGGTAGAGGACCCGAGCTCAGAGGATGAAAGAGACCACCCGCGGAGGGTGAGAAGGGAATTTTTTTTTTTCATATCAAACTGGTGATCTTTGAAAGTGGTGAACTCTATAGGTCTTTGAAAAAGTTTTGATTTCCACTTTATCAGCTCACAGTTCTGTGACATTTCCTGTGTGAATCCACTCTGTTTGAATCCGTTCCCCCCGCTTCAAACAAAAGCTGTCAGAACAACCACTCACTTTTTGACATTTAGATTCTATTTTATCCCTTTCTGAGCCTCTAATAAAACCACATATGGTGATGGGTTGTGGATGGCTCCACTCGCATTCATTTTTTATGAGTGTTTACTCGCAGCAGCAGGCCGTTTCGGCGGCAAAACAAAGGGTTTTCACTCAGAACAGGTGGAACCACTCCTTTCAGACTGATCTAAAGGGTCTGTTGACTGAATCACAGCATTAATGATTTAAAAACAACACATATATTTTACAGCTCACCTAATAATTGGTATTCTGATATTTCAGTGCTGGACTACACCGGTTAATTTGTACTAAAAGAAATGAAGTGGCAGAGCTACTGACAACGCCCACTTCCACAGAGCTAATGGTTCAAAGTACCAGGGTATAAAAATGAAGGCGATCTAATGGCAGTAAAAAAAAATTCTACCCATGTTCTCATTAGAATAGAATTTATCGTTTAATTTTAAAATCTCAAATTGAACAACTTCAACTGAAAGCTGCAACAGGTCACTCTCATTAAGGTTCCACAATTTCACATCATGAATTTCCCACAAAAACGGAGAAAAGATCCCCTAAGCACCAACTTTAGACCAAAACTTTAAACCATTTTAATGCTAATATTATTATAACCATCATTTCAAACACAGGAATGTCCAACAATCACTTTAAGCCAAATGTACAAATTAAAATGTGGATGCAAAATTAGTTAAACGACAGACTTTCTACACTAAACTAACAATGGTGACTCCAAAACTTAATCAGTAGGAATCAACCTACTTCACATACGGGGGGCAATATTATAGGCAGAAACATGGGTGTGCCATGGGATCCCCAGTTTCTCCTATTGTTGCAAACCTGTACATGGAGGAAGTGGAAAAGAGAGCCTTGATGTCCTTTTCAGGGGTGCCACCGAGCCATTGGTTCAGATATGTTGACGACACCTGGGTTAAAATGAAAGCCCAGGAAGTCCAACATTTCACTGATCACATCAACTCGGTGGATGAATATATTAAGTTCACACGAGAGGATGTAAAAAATGGCAGGTTGGCGTTCCTGGATTGCGATGTCTCGGTTTCGGATGGAGGACGGTTGGAAACTGGCGTGTATCGTAAGCCCACCCACACAGACCAATATTTGCGTTTTGACTCCCACCACCCACTGGAACACAAGTTAGGAGTGATCAGGACTCTGTACCACAGAGCAGACAGTGTCCCTACAAACCCAGGAGCCAGGGAGAAAGAGAAATCACACACACGACAGGCCCTGGAGCAGTGTGGTTATCCTGACTGGGCTTTCCTGAAAGCAGACAGGAAACACAGACAGGATTCCATGCAACCTTCAGGTGAAAATGAAGACCCCAAACCCAGACCCAAACCAGTGGTTATTCCGTATGTTGCGGGTGTTTCGGAGAAACTGAGACGTTTATTTTCTAAACATGATGTCCCAGTGGCTTTCAAACCCCAAAACACATTACGGCAAAGGCTGGTTCACCCCAAAGATCCGGTGCCCCGGCACAAACAGAGCAATGTTGTATATGCTGTTAAGTGCCAGGAGGACTGCGACCATTTATACATCGGGGAAACAAAGCAACCACTGTTCAAAAGAATGTCCCAACACAGACGAGCTACGTCTAATGGCCAGAACTCTGCAGTTTTCACTCATTTACAGGCCAGCGGTCACTCTTTCAGAGATGAGGATGTTCTCATTCTTGATAGAGAGGAACGTTGGTTTGAGAGAGGAGTAAAAGAAGCCATTTTTGTAAAGAAAGACCGTCCATCATCAAACAGAGGTGGGGGCCTCTGTTTTCAGTTGTCCCCCTCCTACAACGCTGCCATTGGCAGTATCACTCCACCCCCTGTTAACAATAGGTATTAATTAGGTGTGAACGATAGCCATGTGATGTGAGTATCAGTCACCTGGAGGCAGGACWYAAAAGCCTGAATTTTGCCTGAAACTCTCAGACTGAAGAAGTCTCTTGGAAGAGAGACGAAACGTTTCATTAAAGAAGAAACCATCCAGAGGACCTATACAATTTTTTTTTTCCTTTTGATTTTTTACCTGGATTACTGAGATGCATCAGGACATTAATCAGTAGAGGTTCATCCAATTATTATTTTCTGAGCGTTCTGTTAAAATTGCTTGATGAAATGTTTTTGCTAACAGACAAACAAATGAAAACAGGCATTTGTATGCTCGGCAAGCTCTGTATGAATATTTAGTAAAACACGTTGTTAAGAGATATGCAAAGTACCAAATGTTGGAAATACTTCAGTGCAGCTCCTCAGTAAAAGATTTCATCAAACTTGTCTGCTTGTTTCTGTAGTTTCGGGGCTTATTATTCAAAACTGTTCACCTGATGAGACCCAGCTGGTTCACGCTGTTGCTTCCAGCCACGGCATTTGATAATAACTGTCCCATCACATATTAACGCTCCATGACCTCGCTGCTCAGGATGCACACCAAGGTTTATCCTGATCTCATGTGACAGCTTGAGCTTCTGTCAATTAATTCATTACAGCTCAAACTAAACATCACCACAGGGAGCGCAAAAACCCACAGATCCCCTATTATCACATTTTAGTCCAGTGGGGTCATCCGGAGAGAGATGGAGAGAAAGAGAGGAGCGACCCAGTTTTGTCCTGAAGCTTCAGAGTGATAATGTCCCAGAACTCAACCATATGACCTTAACCAGTGGTTCCCAAACTTTTTATCTTCTGACCCACAAACTATCCATGGCAAAAACTTGTGACCCCAAATATTACTGGTCTGAGTACATGAACTTTATTAATAACCCTAAAAACACAGGCTTTTTGACAATCTAAACAGCTTATACACAATTATAAATACTTATTTATACTTTTTTGTGTGTTTTTGTAATAGTTATAGGGAAAATATTACATCAGCAATTATTTTATTACCCTTTAAACGGATTTCTGGAGATTATCCAAGGTGCTTCATGACCCATAATTGGGTCCCAAGCCTAACTTTGGGAACCAAAGTGCAGTGGTTCCCAAACCTTTCAGCTTTTGACCCACAAAAAAGCAGTAGCAGAGACCTGTGCCCCCAACTATTTTTGGATGATAAACATTTGTATCAGGTCAACTAAACATGGGCACAGTAACAATATTTTTATACTACATTTTTCCATTTTAAATATACTAACCTGACTCCTTTGTAACAACTAAGGCAAAAATGTCATTAATTCAGAAAATCTTTTCAGGACCCCACCTTGATGTTTCAGGACCCCACTTTGGGTCCCGACCCCAACTTTGGGAAACACTGACCTAAACCACCAGTGGTCCCCTTTTCTCTCAGAGCATACAGACAGATATAGATGTTATCTATTGGTGTAACATGCTCAGTTTGAGGATGCTCATAGGAAGTGAGTTCATTATGAATTTTACAGCTGAATCAGATAAGAGAGCGAAACACTCTCATGGAACAGGTCTCCAGCTCCTTATGTCTAATTAACACTCTCAATCTTTTTTAGCACGTGGGGCAATAGTTATTAAAAGATCAGCATATTGTAGAGTGAGACACCGTGATTATTTTTGTTGTTTTGTTTTGTTTTGTTTTGTTTTGGATGCGTTTTGCGCACTCCAGGTTCAACTTGTCTGAGCTGAGAGGCAGAAGTTTTAAGCTCCTAACCAGGTTTAGTATACTTTTCGCCAAAAGTAAATCCTAAAACATGCCACTCACCCATAAGCAGGGCAAGTTTAAGAGTCTTCAGCCCTCCCGGAGTTTGTTTAAAGTTGTCCGACCCGAGGGATCCGTTCCAACTTTACGCGTGACGAGCGCTTTAAGTCCGCATGGCGATTAGGAAGAGACTGACGCGCTGCCCGGAGTCTCCATTCAGAAAACTTTACCACAACTTTGGTGCGTAAAGTTTGTTGCTTCCTTCTTCTTTTTGGAGGCTCTCTTGAGTGGCTGTCAACAACTGCAGGGTGAGACTCAGTCTTCGCAAGGTCGTTCCTCTATTTTGGAAGCGTCGGAGGTCAAAGGACAAGCAAAGGGAGCTGGAAATGACTGCTGTCACATACTATCATCGGCATGTAGAAGCTTTGAAGAGTGGAGGAAAAAAGTGCGCGTCAAAAAAAAAGAAGGGGGTGTATTTTTTTGTGCGCCTCTGTGCGCAATAAGAGCGTCATCTTCGCCTCGGGCGCATTTTACCTGCGCGTTTCTTCTTAAAAAAAAACTTCTGTTCAATTAAACTTGTGTCGCCTCCTTTAAGTCTGTATGTTATAATAACTTTAATAACACTGTGCTGCCATTTCCACTCTCAGGTTGTAGAATAATGATTGGGTTTAAAGGGCGCAACTGACGGCACCCTTCCCTTCAAACCTTATAGCTTCCACATGACGTCACCTCCTGGAGAGAATACATCAAGAACAAACAGAACCAGAAAAATATGCTTTGTATTGGTTGTAGTCTTGTCAGCTGATGAGCTTTTGTGTTTCAGAGAAGGTGAACATGCTTAAAGGAGGTGTGGCCAGCATTAAGAAGCCAAGCCTCACCTTGTGTAATAAACATGTCGCACTGTTGTAGCTGCACGTTCCTGCAGAGTTTCCATGCCAGAACCTCATCAGACTCCCCGTGTTTTGCATAATGTACTGTCATGCAGCGTGAGTTCCCCGTGAGTTAAATCAAAACCAGTCGGCTGAAACAAATGTTTTTACTTGATTTATTGGACGGAAATAGAGTCAGAAGAAGCAGTTCTGGCTGTGTAGCTTTAATCCAAGTCACTTTAAAAACCCCTCTTGTTGCTACATTTAAAGCCACAGGTGTTTACTTTAGGATTTTCAGACTGAAATTCACTTTGCATCCTGAAATAACACTAGACTTAACATAATTGCATGGAGAACCAGATCCTGGCTGTGTAATCAGAGAGCTCAAACAAATACAGAAAGCTCCTGTGTCAAGATAGACTTTGGATGCTATTCTTGTTTTAGACTTTTAGATATTTAGTAGTTGATTTTTTGCAGGCAGGGGTGGGTAGAGTACCCAAAAGTTGTGCTCAAAAGTAGCGCTACTTCAACATCAAGTAAGTAAACATTAACAATCCAAGAAATTACTCAAGTATGGGTAAAAAACAAAACATTTTGTGAAAGGCTACTTCTGATCATAACATCTGATTTAATGTTATTAAATGATATCATCAGAATGACAAAAAATAAACAGTTACGTGCAAATTCTGGTGTTTTCAAAGACTAAAATAAAGAAATTCTATACAAATAAATAACTTAATGACAAAGAAAAAATTCCAGTATGAGAAAGACTTTGTGAGTCTAAATTTTCTCATTATGAAACTTGTTAAATTTGCAGTTTTGGGGGGACCACTCTGTAGGTCATAAATATCAAGTGAGGGTCCCTAGATAATCTGCAAATGTTGGGGTTTTCTGTGAGAACAGGGTAAAGTAGTGACTTTATGTTTACCATATTCGCTTGACCTCCAAATGTCTGCGATTCATTTGGTGGTCAAGTGAATATATGTAGAACAACAAAGTCTGTGTACAAGAGCACTTCCACATGAATGAGGTGTGTCTCTCTGCATTTCTAGTTAAAACATGTTTGTTCTTCATGGAGTGAAATTACTTTCAGTGGGTAGTTTTCAGACATTTTGCTCAAGTAAGAGTAGTTATATGTCATGATAGTATTATTCAGTGGTGGGCAGCACTAATCTAAAAATTAGTTCCACTAGCCCTAAAGCACTAACTCAAATACTTAGGTCTCCTAATTCTAAAGCACTAACACACTGAACATTTAGCAAAAGCTAATTCTAAATCACCAAAATAACCCAGTCAACGCCTTAACATTCTTAACAGACAACATGAGTCACACATGGCATGTCGCTCTCGACTCATCATTGACACTCCACAGCCGTATTTGTGTTCATATATTGTCAATATGTCACCTGGTGGATAAGTGACACACATGTGAACAAAATGTGTGACCGCTTTAAGCCTCAGCTGTTAACATTAATGTTGATCAATAACATTTATAGACCTCAGTTAGTGCTTCTCAATTTAGCCTGTAAATTTAGCAAGTGATAATCCACTAATAAATTTTAAAAGCCCTAAAGCACTAATCAGGAAAAGAGCTTCCCTATTAGTGCTTTAGGGGAATTGTGCCCTGGCATTATTCAAATAAAGTAAAACGTGTGTTGTATTAAAACTACCTCTAAAAGTATTTTATATTCTCCAAAAATAAAGTTACTCAAGTATCAAGTAAATGGAACTAGTTATACCCACCTAAGGTCTATCACTGATCCCTCCTTATTTTATTTTGTTTTATTTTATTTTACATAAAACATTAACTTTGCTTAATTTCATTTCCATTAACACAGCAGATTAAAAAGCTTGTAAAGTTATCCACACTCCACTTTGTTCGTAGAGTTGGAGCTGCAGAGTAACAGAGCACACCCTCCAATTACCACTTGATCCAGCAGTGAGAACCCCTGGATGTTGACATGACCTTCTCATTGTGAGAGACAAAAACGCTGCAGGACTTCACTAATTTTCACCCACAGTGAGGCTGGACTCCTGCACTGACCTGTAGTCTTGACCCTGAGCTTCGTGGGCTTCTTTCCATCTCCACCGGCACCCTGTTTTTTTTTTAATCTGTCCAAGCCCGACCACGTCTCTGCATGTCATCAAAGCAATTCTACTGCAAAAGCAGCAGTACAGTCTAAACTCAACTCTGTTTCTTTATTAGTGTGCCAATTTTTTTTTCACGCTGTGGTAGCTCACACTGACCGCCTGTGTGTTTATTTATTTTATTTTGTTTTTAATTTTTGAGCTGCACAGATTACATGCAAACTCCACCAGAAATGAAAGAAATCCTGTTGCCATGGCAGTAGATGTATATTTTATTGGCAAGCCTTTCCTCCTGAGGTGTAACAATGCCACCTAGTGATATTGGAGACTCCGGTGCACCTCAGGGAGACTACACAGACGTATTAGTTTCCAGACTTTACCTTGGGAAAGCTTTGAAATGATCTGATGATGATTTAATTTCGAGTTCAGTGAAACTTGGAATATATCAGCTCTGTTTTAATTTGTTTATGCAAAAGAAAATGCAAAGGAGAGCATGTGAAGTGTAAACTTTAGATTCATGTGGAAATTAGATACTGATGCAAAGATGTACTCGATTTGAGCATGAAACGTAATAAAGCCTCTTAGGTTCTGAAATGCTGCAGTAAAACATATTTTCTTTTTTTTTTTTACCTGACTGAACGTGGAGTAAGTAATATTTTTCCCTGCTGATGTACAACAGGCCTCTATTTTTCTTGCTCCTTTTACCGGCTTTATTGCAATCTGCGCAGGATGTAAAACATCAAGGCATATGCATAAATGTCATAAAATAACCTTTATCCATCCATTTTCTACACCTGCTTGATCTTGTTCAGGGTCTCAGGGAGAGCTGGGGCCTGTCTCCATCCATCATTAGGTAAGAGGGAGGGAACACCCCGGTCAGGTCGCCAGTCCATCGCAGACACATGTTCACCAGTTACATTTGTTTTTCAGGGGGAGTGTGGGAGGAAGCCCTCAGAAAACCCACACATGCATGAAGACAATATGCAAGTCTCAGCAGAAAGTTCCAGTTGGGAAATGATAAACCCAGGATCTGTTTGCTGAACAAAAGCATCACTTGCCAACTGCTCCATCATGCAACTCAAATATCTTTTTTTTTTTTTAAATATCAAGCAAAATATGATTTGGAGGAAATGAGCATTTTGAGACAAGGATCCAGCCAGCTGTTTAATGCACAGGTTAAAGTTATATTGATCATTTAAAGGCTATTTTCTTGCTTATCTTTTAATAAAAATCAGAAGTTTCAACATCAACAAGCTTTAAAAACAGTATTAGTATTTGTATTTATTATTAGGTGTGTTCATGTTATGACCTCACCACAATTCACAGATGTACTGTGGAATAAATTTTGTGCCAGCAGGAATTGAATTTGAATTGCTCAGATTGAATCTGTATGTTCATAATTTGAAATTGAATGCATTGGTTTGAAAGTGAATTTTACTAAATTGAAACTGAATTTAATGATTTGTATCTGAAATAATTTGCTTAGAAAATATTTTTAATCTATCAAAAATTCAGTTTGACAACTTTCACTTTCAGCTCCATAATTCAGATTTTTGTGTCACACATCCTGGTCCTTGAGAAAGTCAGCCAGAGCAATCAAACACAGATCCACAAATTTATGTTTCACTTTGGTGACACTTCCTTTTTTGGTTGATGCAATGCACCGTAAAAGTGACAAAAACAGACAAACTTATTTCATTGCAGTGATTAATTTTACCTATATGTAGAAAATATTACATTTACATCACTTCATGGATCACATATTGATCAGATGCTGCTGCTGACTGATCCATGATGTGATGTAAATGTAACATTTTCTACATATAGGTAAAATTAATCACTGCAATAAAATAACTGTCTGTTTTTGTCATTTTTACAGTGGATTGCATCAACTCTGTTACATACAGAAAGGAAACTTCAACAAAGTGAAACTTAAATCTGTGGATCTGTGTTTGATTACTCCGGCTGGCTTTCTCAAGGAAAGTTGTGAATTTGAATTAATTTGCTTTGAAACTATATTTTGATTTATTAATCAATCTGAGCAATTCAAATTCAATTCCTGCTGGCTCAAGATTTATCCCATAGTATCCTTAAAAATGTATATTTTTGGACTTTTGTTTTCTGATTTATTGAAAAACTGAAAAATGAACAAATGAACAAATAACAAAAAATAAATAAATAAATAAAAATATAAGTTCATATTTCATCCAAAAGTGTACAGAGAAGCATTTGAAAGTTTTAGCGGACTGGGGTTCAGAAAAGCTTAACTTTAGAAAGCCGTAAGTAAACAGAGAAGCTTCAGAAAACATTTTGTGTCTCAGCTGACTGTTATTGATACTGAGATCCACTCAAACGATGAGGATCCTCACTTTACAGTATCTCTAAGTCTGAGCCAGGAAGCTCATTCTACACATTTGTGGGATCTTGTTATTTCTGACATGATTCTCACCTCACGATATTATTGTGACCCATTGATTTGATTTGATTTGATTTGACTTGATTTGATTTATTTATTTAACAGGAAAAGATTATTAAAAACCAAGCCTGACTCAGCATAATTGCTGTTTTACAGCAGGTTCCTGTTCTGCAGCACATAAAACACTCAGAAATACAGCATCACAATCACATCATTGTACACCATAGACACAAAGACAAACA